TCGTCTTGCCAACAAGATCTGTTTCCCCCGACTCTCGGCCCGTCTGAATGGATCTCGGTGGAACCTCCAAAAATGAAGCAGACCTTTTTCTTCCCCTGAGCAATGCTCAAGAGCTTAGCCAAATGCTCCATTCAAGTTCAGTTGCGGACGCAGATGAGTCAGGGAAAACAGCCAACAGGGTTCAGAAGAAATCAAAGTATTTTATTTAGCAGCTGCTAGATGACTTCTGACGTAACGGGACGTCTCTGGGGAAGTCACCCAGCACAAAGGGTTAGTGTTCCTTTTATACATGCAAAGGGGTTCGGTTTTAAGAGCCGCCCCAAAGATTAAATCATTGGTTAAGAAAGCTGTCAATATTATATTTACGTTAAGCAATTAGATCATACACTTATAGGTTTCGCTTCCCAATAAGTATGCCCTTTTTGGAAACATCTCAAGATGCTGATACAGCTGGAGACTCTGCAAAGTCAGCATTGTCTCCTGACCGATACTTCACCCTTGCACAAAAAACTTATCTTTGGCACCAAAACCTGTCTTTGTTTCCCATATATGGTCAAGTCCATATCCATTCTCTTTTCTCCATGAAGACCCCGGCATTTTGTAAAACTAAAGCTGTATCTTCTGCCTTAACAGGATTCAAATGATCAGTAAATAAAATCACTGAAGATGAGGCTCATTCTAGCAAGACTCATTTGCTCTAGAAGGGCCATTAGAAAGCTGATTTTTCTTTTCCATGAATGGATGTGGAGCAGTCCATTCCAACTCCTGTGTTTCAGAAGAGGTATAATGTTCTCTTTAGTCTTTTGTGGTTCAGTTAGCTACTGTCATCCCTGTCAACAGCTGCCCAGAGTCGTTATGGAGCTCATCTGGTTCTGCTGGTCTTTTGAGTATTAAAAGGCACAGTGAATTTATCTTAAGACATGGGCAGTGTTTATTTTCCTTGTAAACTGTGAAGTTGTAGAAAACAATATCCATTCATATTGCAAAAATCAAGGTTTCTGCAATTCCCAAAAGGCATTACGTTGTAGTGAGAACCATAAAGTCTGTGAGCCTAAATGCCCATTTGCAAGTAAGCCCTACTCAGATCAAACTGAAACTAAAATTGAGCAGCCCCCACCTGAGATGTAGACCACACAACAGTTGCATCAGCTTTTATTACTATTAACTTTAGAATCACATTTTACAAAAATAAAGGAAAAAGGATAAACATACCAGCTAGAAATGAGGGGAATATGTAGGACAAATTTATTTATTTAGCACATTTGTGAATTGCTTTCTCCCTTTAACAATAAAAAGTGGAATAAAACACCAAGTTTACTTACCCTGGATCTCCAGTGTGGAAATGGCAAGAGCAAAAGAGGAAGTCCTTTGCCTGTCTAGGCCTGGATGCAGCCTGACTCGGGTTCCTTGGAATATTTCTACCTTTGTTCTTGAGTGCATACCTCTCCATTCCCAAATCTGTGGCAGTTGCACTGTGGGATTAGACACTCTTTCCCTTTTGTCTACAAGAACTCATTTGCTGTTTGTGTGCATTTTAAATAAAATGCCCTATATACTCGAGTGTAAGCTGACCTGAAAATAAGCCGAGGCACCTAATTTTACCACAAAAAATAGAAAAATGTATTGACTTGAATATAAGCTGAGGGTGGGAAATGCAAATTGGTAAATTTCAAAATAAAAATAGATACCAATAAAATTACATTAATTGAAGCATCAATAGGTTAAATGTTTATAAATATTTACATAGAACTGAAATTTAAGATAAGACTGTCCAAGTCTGATTATTAAACCATGATTCTAACCTTCAGTGTAAATGTGCTTACGTATCCTTCCAATAATAATAAAAAGAGTAAAATAATGAATGCAATAATAGTAATAGAGTTAAAATAATGGAAATGTAATAACAATAGAGTAAAATAATAAATGTAGGAGTAGTAACAACAACAACAACAACAACAGTAAAATAATAAACAACTTTGACTCAGTTGAAGGGAGATGTTGACAAGCTGCAATGTGTCTGGAGAAGCGTGACTAAAATGATCAAGGGTCTGCAGAACAAGCCCTATGAGGAGTAGCTTAAAGAGCTGGGCATGCTTAGTCTGAAGAATAGAAGGCTGAGAGGAGACATGATAGCCATGTATAAATATGTGAGAGGAAATCAAAAGGAGGAAGCTTGTTTTCTGCTGCCCTGGAGACTAGGACACAGAGCAATGGCTTCAAACTACAAGAAAGGAGATTCCATCTGAACATTAGGAAGAACTTCCTGACTGTGAGAGCCGTTCAGCAGTGGAACTCTCTGCCCGGAATGTGATGGAGGCTCCTTCTTTGGAGGCTTTTAAACAGAGACTGGATGGCCATCTGTCGGGGGAGGTTTGAATGCAATTTTCCTGCTTCTTCGCAGGGGGTTGGTCTGGATGGTCCATGAGATATCTTCCAACTCTATGATTCTATGACTATGACTCGAGTATAAGCCGAAGGGGGCTTTTTCAGTCTAAAAAAGGGTTGAAAAACTTAGCTAATACTCGAGTATATGTTGTAAGCAAAAAGCGAGTAAGGGCCCTTTTACACTGCACAATGATAGGACTACAATTTGACTTTAACTGCCTTGAGTCTATCCTAAGGAATCCTGCCACCAACAATTTAAAGGTAAAGGTAAAGGTTATCCCCTGACATTAAGTCCAGTCATGTCTGACTCTGGGGTGTGGTGCTCATCTCCATTTCTAAGCCGAAGAGCCAGCGTTGTCCATAGACACCTCCAAGGTCATGTGGCCAGCATGATCGCATGGAGCGCCAACAATTTAGAGGGAGGTATTTAGTGAGACCTTACCTGGAATGCTGTGCCCAGTTCTAATGACCACAATTTAAAAAGGATATCGACAAGCTGGAATGTGCCCAGAGAAAGGCAACTAAAAGTACAGAACCCATTCCCTATGGGATTAAGAAAGTTGGGCATGTTTAGCCTAGAGAAGAGAAAGTTAAGATATCACATTGTAGCCATTTTAATATGGGAAAGAATGTCATTTTGAAGAAACAAGTTTGTTTACTACTGCTCCAAAAACTAGGGCACAGTGCAATGGTTTAGCATTCCCAGCCAGGGAGCTCTAGTGCTCCACCAAATTACAAACCACAGGATCCCACATGAAAAGAACCAGTGGTTTCATACTGCTATGTGTAATGTAAAAGGTATCTGGTTCCTTCCTGGGAATGCACACTCACTTTTATCTTTTTCTTTGTTGGAGATGGTAGAAGCAGGTGTCAAGGTGAGTACTTGGATGTTGGGTGACCTGAAAGAAAAACAACTTTTTTTAGGATCTATTTAAGCAAATAATACGGAGCCAATTCAAAGATTTGTCCATTCTAGAATTAGCATACGCTGTGTCACATTTTAATCAGGCACATGTCGAAAATGCATATGAATTACGGATCTGTAAATCTTGTCACACCTTGGAGATTATTTGCTTCTTTGACCCATCTCAAATGGGTATTTATTTAATATATCTGTCATGAGCAGGTCTTGGAAAACTGATTTTTTTTACTACACCCAGGGAACATGGGCAGTGGACCTAGATATGAGAAAATGCCAGCTGCCACTGCTCATATGCCAGGAGGCATCCATAACTGTAATTTAATTTTTTATACCCATAGGCAATCACAACTGATTACACAGAAAAATCAGAGAACACAGATTAAAAGACATGAAGTACAAAACTATCTTAACCTGTCCTTTATATTTATCAAACCATTAACATATCTACAATTACTTAAACGTAACATGTATATATTTGTTTTTTTTAGTACAAATGACAGACTAATACCCTTTCCCCGTGAACACACACACGCATGAACAAACATTAAAACATGGGCTCAAAAAGCTTGAAAAGGGAAGACCATTCCATTTGCATCTGTGTACATAAGAAGTAGAAATCACAATGATCTGAAAACAGGCCAGACTATTTGGGAGAAAGGCTCAGAGGCAGATCAGATGGTTTGAATGCAAGTGGCTCCAGGTTCAAGCCTGGGTGTCTCGAGGTAGGACTGCGGGAATATACCTGGATCTGAAACAATGGAGAGGTGTTCCTATTCAAGCATATACTACGTGTGGGCAACCCATTGCCAAGGGACCACCGGGGCCTTAGAAGCCTTTGTAAATGGCAAATGAAAGCCTTCTGCACAACTGTTTGGCAGACTGGAAAGAGGACATTGAATCATAAAGCTGGAAGAGACCTCATGGGCCATCCAGTCCAAGACATAATAAATAAATAATGAGGAGGTTGCTACATGGGTGTTATTGTGGAACTCTTTTACGCTACATCAGGCATAGATAAACTTTGGCCCCCCAGGTGTTTTGGACTTCAACTCCCACAATTCCTGACCTAAACTACAACCCCCAGCATGTCATAGGATTGAAACAATGTTTTTAAAGTGAAATCATGGTGCTAGAATGATAGAGTGTGATTGGTTGCACGACACCTCTCTTGCATCAGAGTCAGGTTCTCCTTCTCAACCTGCCAAACAAATTTCCATGTAACCAGAGGGCTTGGAGCATTTAGTTGTCATCACCAAAAGTAACTTTTTTAAAGTTGTGCAATCTAGAGAGATAGTGTCAAAGAGACCCATTAGGAGGGTTGATTGTTGCCTTCCCATGGCATCCCGAGCCTGTGCATATGTGACTATGGGTGGGAAGTCTCTGTGCTTAATTAAATTGAGATGACAAGGATGTAGGACCACCTACACAGCCAGAACCAATATGGCCTTCAAACGACAAAAAAGCCTAATATTGGGATATATAATGCTGGACCAGAAGAACAGTGATAGAAGACTGGAGCTTCCTAGATGTCTAGGAAAATGGCTAGACAGGTAAGGTAAAAAAAATCTCTGTACAGTTATGATATCCTGCTCCCCCTGTACAGTTATGACATCCTGTCTGATATTCTGCACATTCAAATCAGCTGATCGTGACTATATCATAGGGTTTGCCATTGCACTGCTCTGAGGCTGAGAGTGGGTGACTTGCCCAAGGGCAACCAGGCTGAGCATAGATTTGAACTTTGTTCTCCCAGAGTTCTAGTCCATCACACACAAAAAATACACCGCTCTTTCTCAAATTTGTTTGGGAAAGTACAGTGTAAAAATTACAAGTATATACAGAAATTAATGAGAAATGTCATACATTATTATTCTAGTACACAAGTCCCAGGTGGTGCAATGGGTTAAACCCTTGTGCCAGCAGGATTGCTGACCGACAGGTCAGTGGTTCGAATCCGGGGAGAGTGAGTTGAGCTCCCTCTGTCAGCTCCAGCTCCTCATGTGGGCACATAAGAGAAGCCTCCCACAAGGATGGTAAAAAACATTAAACATCCTAGTGTTCCTTGGGCAATATCCTTGCAGACAGCCAATTCTCCCACACCAGAAGCAACCTGCAGTTTCTTAAGTCGCTCCTGACACACATACACACACACACACACAATTCTAGTATGCAGGGTTGAATTCCCACATCACACTTTCAGTTCAAATGGTTCAGGTTCGTAAATTGAATTCAACAGAAATCAGATAAGCTAAAGGTACCTTCAATGAGATTCAATACATAATGAGTTTAAGGCACTTCATGTGAACAAAAGTATCTGTATGTGGAGGAGAAAATAATTCTTTGAAAACAATAACTAATGTGTGCATTGAGTTTCCACTTCTCCTTTCCCTGTATACTGAGTAAAAGAACAACTGGTATAATTGTTCTGCATGGCATTATGCAAGGCACTTTTTTCTTTAGATGCTGCAAAGGTGTAGAACTGAATATAAGTTTCATTTTTAATATGCAGCCGACACCTGCGAGCCAAGTAAAAAAATAGTCTGCCCCCCTTCCCATCCCTGCCCTGTGTTAGAGAGAGAAATATGGTACTTAGATTGCTGCTAATGTGCAGATCTTGGGCTGCGGTCTGCCTTGCTAAGAAGTCCTTGTCTTCATGAATGTGCATTATGAGTGCATTGTACGCAGCCCTGGTATGCAAATGTGGAGCATTCAGAGAAGTGAAATCATTCTGTGTTATTATTATCTTTGTAAATTACATCGTAAGAGTGGGCTTTTTTTCTGTGCATGTTTGCGTGTGTGCGTGTATGTTTTGGAGGACTTTATGATGGCAGTTTAGTCTCCGCTGTGTAGCACAAAGTGTTTCTTTCATTATTAACAATAACTGAGCCAATGAAAATGCTTTTAAAAATATACCAGACAAGCAGTTATCCAGCAGTTTCTTCTCGACATCCCAAACCATATTTTAGCATCTTATAAACCAGCATAGAAAACAGCTTTGTAAACATCTGCTTTTCATTGTTAATTGTCAGGAAAAATTAGACATTTAAATGCGTCTTTTGTAGTGCTCCATAATCCTGGGCAAAGGAAAGCCCTTGATTGTCTGCAGTTCGCACGTCTAGAGACAGTATTGTTAATTGTTTAATTTACTATTCTATGTATTGTGTGTGTTTCCCCCACATTTGAAATGTTAATTCCCACTTATTTGTGGACTTTTTATTGTTGGTATTTAAGATTTATATTAAAATACAATAATCTCTTTTTTGCAGGTCTTTGAAAAAGGCATGGCACTACTACAGAATGTCATGTATTTCCTGAGAACGTTAACATAGATTGACTTTAACGGAGAGGATTTGTTGTTATTATTTTGGTACTATGGAATGGATTGTCTCATCCTAGGATTTCCAGGCAAGCCATACCGTTATGCATAAGGTTTCCATAAGTCAAAGTCAACCTCACGGCCTTTAACGACATAAATTGTTATATAGGTGCCCCTATTCTGCCACTATGCAGAGGAACAACTTTGCAAAAAAGTTACATATAATTTAAATGTTCTATATAATTTTGTTAACCACGGGTACATTTTATTTATAGGAAGTTATAACTAAGACTGAGAAGCAAATGCAAGACTGAAAAATTACAACAAATATTCAGGATATTTATATAGAAAAAGACAAAATTTGAAGATGCAATGCCATTAAATGCCAATCAAGGTGGTCAATTGCAACATTCACACTTGCCTCCAACATACAAAAATTCTTTCTCCCACCAGGACATTATTCCACAGACATAAACCTCACTTACTTAGTTTCCAACAGGCCTCACAACCTCTGAGGATGCCTGCCATGGATGCGGGTGAAACATCAGGAGAGAATGCTTCTGGAACATGGAAAACTCACAGCGACCCATAATTTGAATGACAACCTTCGTGGACATCTTACTATTTTGTTTCAGTCAACATTTTCCTGCTTCTGTTGGTTTTCCCCCTTTCCCCTCTCATAATCAATGCCAGTGTATACCTGGCAACAATCCACTTTAAATTCTGTCCAAATCACACAGTAGCTGCATTATAGAAGTCAGCAGAAAAACAGTCTATTCACAAAAGTATTCTGTTATTTTAAAACTGTGTTATCCTTACCCTGTACTGACCATATTAACTTTCTCTCTTTCTCTCTCTGTCTTGGTCATCTGTTCGCAGCAAAAATGCTATATATGGTTGATGACTTGATACATGTGGATATGAGTAATCATCATCATCACCATCATCTGCCTGTACATGTGTGCATCCTCCCTTGCCACACATACACATTCACGTACACGTATGAATGTCCTGGCTCATGTAGCTTTAGCTAGTTCCTTTATTTGGAACCACTCAATTAAACATTTTCTCTGTCTGTTTGGATTTTAAGTTGCTTCAAATAGAAATCCACCCAACTGTAAGTCAACGTATAATTTTAACACAGTGCAATATCATATTGTTATTTTATACCCTGGTGCACATTTGAGACATACTGCTATGCTTATTTTATCTCATTTCCTTCTTGCTCTTCATTTGTCACTTATCAGCTTATTTTATTGAACTACTGTCTACATAAACCTCACTGCTGCTCCCGTTCCAATGTAATTAAAAAGCAGTTTTAACAACCACCAAATGAGGATGCCAGTGATCTCTAAGACATAGAAAGCACAGCGTGAGAAACAAGAAGTCCAGCCGTTCCATAAGTGTGTAGGTTTAGGGTGGGCACAGATCACAAAAAGCTCATTCTAAAGGCATTTATCTGAAAGCAACTGAATGCTAAGGTGGATCATACCACTGGAAACATTTTCAAAACACAATATCCCCAACACACACACACACACAAGACTCAAACCATCTCTTCCATTGCCTTTATTGCATTGATGCAATTCTATACTAACAAAAAATGTCCTCAATTATAGAAAATACAGACAGTACACGAGAGAAATAGAGTACAGCACAAA